TATCTATCTTTAACATACTTATGAAATACATAACGACTATATTCGCTATATTAACTATGTTCAACATGTCCACCATGTCCACCATGTTATATGTGCGCTATGTACACCATGTCGACTATGTACACTATGTTAAACACTTCCTATCTAAGGTAATGTTCTCTTTTCGCCTACTACTTTTGGGAAGGCTATTGAACAAATACGTACTAACTGGATTGCATGCACTTATTTGCGCAAGTAATATAAACCCATAAAAAGGGAAATGGTCAATCGGAGTGCACAAAATTTGACTGTTCCGGATCAGCCGACATGAATTCCGAACACGTGCGAAGGAAGAAAAAAGCGAAATACTCAAAAACTAGTATTTAAATCATGCTGGGAACGAAATTTTACATGTAACAAGAAACAATCGATTGTTATAGCCTCTCCCTAACCTAAACTTCTGTCTTTATGCACTTAGTTTATTTACAAAATTCGATTTCCTTTTTTGGTTTGTATTACTCGCGCAAATTAAGTGAACTGAACTGAATTTTTGTCGAGCTTTCAAAAAAAAGGAAAACAATTCACAACAAGGAGGGATAATATATATAAATAATAATAATAGTAAATAAAAAAAAATAGAATAACAAACTAAATAGAAAAAAAAATAATTGAACCGTCGCCGCAGAGCCCGTCACAACGACGTACGTACGTACGCACTTATTTTTGCTTTGATCGCGACCTGCAAAATTTGATCCAACTGAATAGTCTCGACAATCCTATACAAATCCGCATCAATATTAATGTTAGAAGAAAATTCACAATGAGTTTCCTAAAAAGGTTAAGTTTCTAACGGGTACTTCTATTTTTTCAGCAACACTAATCTATACATAAAATAGCAATTTATGTAGAATGATTTTTAAACCTTTTAAGAATTCCAGAGAAAATTTAATATTCGTTTATGATTTTATTAAACTTACAAAATACACATTTCAAAATGACACAACGGTTGAATTTTCAAATCAAAAACTTAAATCTGATTATTGTTTCAGCAGCATTCGTATACGTTAGTCTTTGGTATTTAAGCTCGCAACAACCATTTGTGAATTTGTTCAATAATTTTACTTTTTATAAGAATTTAGAAAACGTAGATACGACCCTTGGCTTTGATCATATTTACATTACAAATGTTTCAACTCGGCCAGGAGCATATGAAAACTTTAAATTAATAGAAAATAAATTAAATTTAACATTCGAATTATTTCCAATCACATCCCAATTTAATAGCGAAAATAATAATGAACCGCAACTATTACAAAAAGCTTATGCTAGTTATAATATTTATAAATCAATTGTGGATCATAATTATAGGAGCGCATTAATTTTAGAAGACGATATAGATTTTGAACTTAACATCAAATCGATTATGACCAATATCCATCACACATTACCAGATAATTGGGAAATCCTATATCTTGGTCATTGCAGCAATTGGGAAGGGAAATCAGGTGAACCTTTGCCAGATTACAATCATGGACAATCTATTTATAAGCTTTTTAAATCCAAGAGGCCATATTGTACACATGCTTACGCCGTTTCGCATCGTGGTGCTTTTAAACTATTGAAAAAACTTGTTAACTTAACGGCTCTAATCGATCTTGAATTAACTAACATGATTACAGCAAATGAAATTATCTCATACACTATTATACCATCGATTATATCGAGATGTCATATTTCTGATGAATCAACAGATCTTTATCCAGGAAAAAATACAGTAGATGTGTTCTCTTTAAATGATTCCACTTTATTTTCTCTTGGACTTAATTATGAATTAAATAGTACTCTCGGCTTTAGTCATATTTACGTTCTTAATCTTGAAAGTCGGCGAGATAGACGCGAAAAATTGGAAAATTTAGAGAAAAAACTTAATTTAAAATTCGAATTTTTTCCTGCTGTGTCTCAAGACGATGAAAATGCACTCAAAGAACTAGAAGTAGAAACCTCCGTTTTAAATCCAGCTCAAATTTCTTGTTATCTTAGCCATTATAAAATCTACCAATCAATAATTCAACGCGGATACGATAGCGCTTTAATATTAGAGGATGACGTAGATTTCGAACTTAATATCGCATCAATTATATCAGATACATATCGAGTTTTGCCATCCGATTGGGATATCTTTTTTCTTGGCTATTGTGACTCTACTGAAACCCAAGGACAGTTATTAGATGGTCAAAGTAGTTCATCACCTTATACAATCCGTAGATCTACTATGCCAGTATGTACTCATGGTTACGCTATTTCGCGTGCCGGAGCACTAAAACTAATAGAATACCTTAACCCAATAACTAAAACAGTTGATGCAACAATTCTGCGTTTACTGCAGTCAAGAACTATTAACGCTTTTTCTCTTGTACCATTGGCAATGGTACAATGGCGCTCTTCAATCAATCCATCAGACGTTGCAAATGAAAGTAGATATTTTTATTTCATCTCTCTAAAACATTCCGCTTTAGAGCATTTTGGAATTCTTAAAGAAACTAATAATACCCTTGGATTCAATAAGATTTACTTTATGGATTATGAGGATGAGTCGGACTATCAAAAGATAGTTGGAAAATTAACAAAAATGTCAGATAAATTATGTTTAGTTTTTACCAATTTCTATGCTATTTCCTCTTATTCAAGTCATTTTGAAGTCTACCAATCAATTATTGATTATGAAAATGGTAGTGCTTTAATTTTAGAAGGCGATATGGATATTGAACTTAGGATCACATCAATTATGTCCGATATACATCGAATTTTACCTGCTGATTGGGACATTATATATCTTGGTTATTGCAATAATTCTGAAGGTAAATCCGGTGAACCTTTACCGGGTAGCAATAATAATTTGTCTGATTATAAATTATTTAAATCTGAGAATCCATATTGCACATTTGCCTATGCCGTCTCACGTGCTGGTGCTCTTAAGTTATTAGAAAAACTTGGCAACTCAACACAATCATCACATAGACCACTGGATGTAAAACTAGTTAACATTATTCAATCAAGAGAAATCAACTCGTATACTCTTGTACCACCAGTGATCGTAAAATCCGGAAAATCACATTCCGATAAAGAAATTTCTGATATACATATGTTAAAAAATTCTACTAGAAAATATTTTGAATTAGATGCATAGATATTTAGAGATTGTAATTAACTGGATTTGAAGGGTTTGCAATAGAATTTTATTTTCGAAATTTTGAAATGTCTGATTTTTGATTTATCTTGTCTTAGTTTAGGTTTAACATTCGGAAATTGACACATATTTTTAGTTTGAGGTATAATAGTTGGTTTTAATTAATGTTAGATTTAATATATGAAAGCTTGATTTTTTCAGTCACTGTCTAAAAAAATAATCGGAACGGATTTGATTTTCCGAATGCCAATACAATATTGTACAATTTTTATACCGTGATCTAAAAAAAGAAATTTTACGATTGTCAACATTAGGTATAAGCATAGTAGATGCTCAGAAAGTGACTCCATTCCGAACATTTTTTTGAACTAAAATAGAATAACTTTAGAAAAATTTTAGAATATAGTCGTAAAAAATTTTTATAGGGAATAGTAGTAGGTAGGTTTGTAATGGAGTACTCCGGACTATACTTAAACATATAACACGCTTCTGGAGTACTCTGGAGTGGGTTATATGTTTTATTATTAACTGGAGCACTCCATTAACAACCATAGTAGTAGGCTTTAATAAATTAAACATCGAGATGTTAACCGTTTTTAAGTGCTTATTTTTTTATTTTTATTTTATTGTTGTTGATCAAACTAATTTGAGGAACGGAGTGTAAAGAAGTGTATGGTGCCAGGAGCGTAGTAATAAATAACGAAGTGTATGGTTATCAAACAACTACGTAGAATGGCAAGTGTGCAAATCCGGTGTCTTGATTGGCCGGTGATCACGAGTATAAATAACTGATAAGGAAATTAGTACGTACCAGGTTCTTCGGTTTTTGTAGCATCTAAAATAGCGTCGTATTTATGTTTTTTTTATAGCAAAATAGCTAGCAACCCATGTTTGTGTTAAAATGCAAAATTTGCTACCTTTGCACTAAACATGTGACTATTACTTGATTTACGTAACTGTGTAATTGTATGCGTATGTTAGATGATGACCGAATAACTCACTGAGATGACCAATGAGCTCACTGAAAAAGAAAAAAATGGATACGCACGTTAAGATTTATATAAATTTTTAATAGGCTAATTTACTAATTTTGCGAAATTTACTATGTCACGCAGCTACTCTAATTTAATAGCATATGAATTGTGTGCAATTCTTAGCATCTGATTGGATAATCCCTTCTTGTGACTATTTTTTTCTATATTTGTACATTATTTGTACATTATATATTGTTTTTTTATATATTGATTGATATTGATATTATGCATAAATCTAAAAATATTTGTAATATATGAAGTTAGATCTTGCTTGTACTTTTTTTATTCACAACTCTGTCTGTATTATCTATTTTGAGTTATCAATTTGTCATTCATATTAATTTTATATTTATTAGCAGAAGGCAGCTTCACGTGAAAATATTGAGCCATGAACAATTTCTTAACTTGTTTTGATTTTTCACCTTAAAATATGATTGGCTAGCGAAATTTTTTAGAGTGGTGACGCTAGGGAGGTTAAATTCATTGGATCTGCCGAATTTTTGTTTCGCGACTAATCAATTCTGGTTAAATAGATGTATGCTAATACCGGATAACCCATATAAAGTAATCCTAATTCGATCCGGATAATTCCGCTTGAATCAGCATTAATATAAAAATAAAATTTGATATGATTCTCTTAAGAGGGTTAAGTTTTCTGACGAAAGTTGCTGTTTTGTCAGCGACATTAATCTATGCGTAAAATGGTAAATGATTTTTTAAACTCTAAAATTTCAAAGAAATATTTAATATTTATAATTTATTTAAACTTACAAATACACGTTTATTATGATGCAGCACTTAAATATCCAATTCAAAAACTTAACTCTAATTATTATTTTAGCATCATTTGCATATGTTAGTCTTTGGTACTTATATTCGCAACAACCATTTTTGGATTTTTTTAATAAGTTGTCTTTTTATAAGGATTTAGACGCAACACTTGGTTTTGATCATATTTACATTACAAATGTTTCGGGTCGGCCAGGAAAATATGAAAATTTAAAATTAATAGAAAATGAATTAAGTTTAACATTTGAATTCTTTCCAACCATTTCCCAAATTAATAGTGAACCACAACCGTCAAAAAAAACTTATATTAACCATAATATTTATCAATCAATTGTGAATCATAATTATAGAAGCGCATTAATTTTAGAAGATAATATAGATTTTGAATTTAATATCAAATCAATTATGGCAGATATCCATCGCATGTTACCAACTAATTGGGAAATTCTATATCTTGGTCATTGCAGCAATTGGGAAGGGAAATCAGGTGAACCTTTGCCAGATTATAATCATGGACAATCTATTTATAAACTTTTTATATCTAATAGGCCATATTGTACATATGCTTACGCCGTTTCACATCATGGTGCTCTTAAACTATTGAAGAAACTTGTAAACTTAACGGCCCCAATCGACTTTGAATTAACTAATATTATTACAGCAAATGAAATTAACTCATATACTATTATTCCAC